TATTTTTCCTTGTATCCCCTCTACCTTTTACTCTCAGTTTTACTTTCAACTAGAAAGTGATCTGATATATCTGTGGCCCCTCTATAAAAAATGTACATCCTGAAGTCTACTCAACATCCTTTTTTCTACCAATAATAAACCCAAAAAAACTACGTCATTTTGCCCCCCAATCATATCGTGTATAAAATTTAATTTTTCCTCTTTTTCCCTTAAAAAATGTATTACCCCATAACTAAAAACCCCCTTTTTATACAATATAATATAAATATATATATATATATAAAATAATAATATATAAATATATATATATATTTATATTATATATTTATTAATATATTTTTATATCTAAAATATATATAATATTTATGGTACAAAACCAACATACCCCACCCCACACACAAAACAAAACACACACACACCACCCACACACACACACACAAAATATATATATATATATATATTATATTATAAATATATATATATATAATATAATATATATATTATTATATATATATATTATAAATATTTTATAAAATATAAATATATATTATAATATATATTATAAAATATAAAATTATATTATATAAATATTTATGTTTGTGCCGAATATTTTAAAATGGTCCCAAAAGCAAGAACTCATTTAAAAAATTTAAATCCTTTCTGAAATTTTCTCTTATAGATTTTAAAAATTATTTTTTTTATTTAAAAGTTGAATGTAAAAAATTTATAATTTTTTTCCAAAAAAATCTTAGAAAAATTACCCTTTCCCTTTTTATAAAAAGAAAAATTTTTTTTTAGCCCCAACTCAACTAAATAAAATTTTTGATTTTTTTACGTTTAAATTTTAAAACTAAAAACACAGGAAAAGTATTTTTTTCGTTAGGTTTAGAAAAGTTTTTGGCCCAAAATTTTTACATACACAAATTTTCCCTTTTCCCATAAAGGGAAGATGACGTTGCTATTTAAACCAAGATCGCAAATTTTTGCCTATTTTGGCACGGAAAAATTATTTTATTTATATATAAAATATATTATATATATATATATATATATTTATATATAAATATATAATTTATGTCGTGCCGAAAATGTAAAAAATGGTCAATTAAACAAGAAAAATCATTTAAAATTTTAAATCCTTTCTAAAATTTTCTTTATACGTTTTTTAAAAAATTTTTTTTTCATTAATGTTGATGTAAAAAATTTTTAAAAATTTTCTCCAAAAGAAAACTTAGAAAACTTTCCTAACCTTTTTATAACAAAAACAAAATTTTTTTTAGCCAAAACCCCCTAATATATTTTTGATTTATTTTTAAAAATAATTTAAACTAAACAAACACAAAAGGGAAAAATATTTTTTTTTTTGTTAGGTTTTCCCCGAAAAGTTTTGGCGAAATAATTACATACACAAAAATTTTTACTTTGTACTATATGGCAAGATGAGCGTTGGGTATTTAAGCCAAGTCGCAAGTTCTGCCTTTCGGGGACGACATATATATTTTATAAATATATAATATATATTTTATATATATATTATATATATATATATATATATATATTTTAATATATAATATATATATATACATTATATATTTTTATAAAATAAATAAAATATAATATATATATATATATTTTTATATATATATATATATATTTTTATATAAATATATATATATATATATATATTATACATAATTTTTTTAAAGGGTTGGTGCAATTATTTAATAAATGTTTAAGAAAGGGGAAGGTACCTAGGGATTGGCAGAGTAGCCTTGGGATAGTTTTTCCTTTTTTATAAGGGGGAAAAGGGGGGAAAAAAGAGTGCAAAAAATTTTAGGGGGGATAAGTCCCGTTGATTACCCGGTAAAGGGGTATGGGGAGAGTTATTTGAAAGAATTTAAAAGTAAAAACGGGGGAAAAAGGATTGCAGTTTAACAAGGAGGCTTTAGGAAAGGTAGGGGGTGTGTGGACCAGGTGTTTACAGTGAAACATATAAGTGAACAGTATTTAGATAAGGCTAAAAGGGGTTTTTAGTGGCATTTATGGATTTGGTAAAGGCGTATGACAAGGTGGATAGGGGGGCAATGTGGCAGATTTGCAGGTGTATGGTATAGGAGGTATTTTACTGAAAGCGTGAAGAGTTTTTACGAGGGATAGTGAGGCTCAAGTTAGAGTATGTGGAAAGAGGGAAATTATTTCCCAGTAAAAGTGGGCCTTAGACAAGGATGTGTGATGTCACCGTGGTTGTTTAATATATTTATAGATGGGGTTGTAAGAGAAGTAAATGCGAAGGTCTTGGCAAGAGGCGTGGAGTTAAAAGATAAAGAATCATACATAAAGTGGGAGTTGTCACAGTTGCTCTTTGCTGATGACACTGTGCTCTTGGGAGATTCTGAAGAGAAGTTGCAGAGGTTGGTGGATGAATTTGGTAGGGTATGCAAAAGAAGAAAATTGAAAGTGAATACAGGAAAGAGTAAGGTTATGAGGATAACAAAAAGAT